TCTGACAACCAGCGATATCCTTGGATTGGCCAGTGGGCGTGGAGGGCAGGCCTGGCAGGTGGCTGCCCCATCCTAGTGAGATGGGAGAGGTTATCTGGGCTTTGGACTGTGAATTCTGTCTTTGGATGCAAGTCGTAGCTCAGCATTTACTTAACCACATGACCTTGGGCAAGATAGTTTAACATTTTGGAGGCCTCAGCTTCATCAAAAGGAAATAGCTAGGTGCTGGTGGCATACACCTGTAATCCTACCTACTCAGGAGGTTGAGATCTGAGTATCATGGTTTGAAGCCAGCCGAGGCAAGGCAGGAAAGTCTGGAAGTGGCATTGTGGCTCAAGTGGTAGAGTGCTAGTCTTGAGCATAGAAGCTCAGGGATAGTGCCAAGGCCTGAAGTTCAAGCCCCAGGATGGGGGGTGGGTGGGAGAAATGGGGATAGTCTGTGTCAGAAGTTCATGCCTAGCCAGGCGCCAGTGGCTCATGCCTGTAATCCTAGCGACTCAGGAGGCTGAGGTCTGAGGATCACGGTTCATAGCCAGCCTGGGCAGGAAGGTCCATGAAACTCTTATCTCCAATAAACCACCAGAAAACCAGAAGTGGTGCTGTAGCTCAAGTAGTAGAGTGCTCTCCTTGAACTGAAGAGCTGATGGACAGCACTCAGGCCCAGAGTTCAAGCCCTACGACCGACAAAAAAAAAAAAAAAAAAAAGATCATGCCTGTAATTGTAGCTGCTCAAGAGGCTGGGATCTGGAGGATTTAGGTTCAAGGTTAGCCCAGACATAAGATTGCTAAGTTTTTGTCTTCTGCAAAAAACAGGGCTAGGGGTATGGTTTAAGTGGTAGAACTGCAGCCTAACAAGTTCAAGGCCCTGAGTTCAACTGCTGACTAGAAGAGGTATGGGGCAGGGGGAGTAGTAATAGCCACTTCCAGAACTGTACAGATTGTAAAGGTAGCTGGATGATGGGTGTCTGTATACCAGCATATGGAAGCTGGCGGTAAGAGGATCACCAGTTCTAGGCTAGCCTGGGTTGCATAATTAGATATTGTCAGAAAAAGAAAAATGACTCAAAAGAAAGGGAAGAAAGGCTAGTATCAACTATGACAAGTATTCACATAATAGAGTGATGTAGTGCATTATTGTAGCTTTAAAGTTAAGACAGTTTTGTTTTTCTTTTTTTTTTGGGGGGGGGTCTGGTCATGGGGCCTGGGCGCTGTCCTTCAGCTCAAGGCTAGCGCTCTACCACTTGAGCCACAGCACCACTTCCAGCTTTTTTCTTTTTGCTTATGTGGTGCTGAGGAATGGAATCCAGGGCCTCATGCATGCAAGGCAAGCGCTCTACCACTGAGCCACCTTCCCAGCCCCAACAGTTTTGTTTTTCATTTATAAGCTTTGGGTACAACCATCAATTGGTACCAAGATCATAGGCCAAGATAAATGTCAAACTCTAGGTCTGGAGTTCTGTTAAGCTTATCTTGTGTGCACTCCTGCAGCAGATATATCCTTACTAGCTTGGCATTCGTTGGGTGGATGGTCCTGTGGCACAGGTGTGAGGTAGATGCTAATAATAAGATCTCGATCACCAAGGATGTGCCAGACTCTGGAGTGAGAAGTCTATGGAGAACAAATGACTCTGGCTAAGGGACCTACCTTGTTGGCTGTCTGGGTCCTTGGCCCCTTAGAGGCCAAAGGTCATGTGATCCTTGACTCCACCCACCCTAGCCTATGTGACCTGCCAGGACCTTCGTAGTATTGCAGACCCTGCGGAGCAGATGGTGATGGTGATCAAGGCCCCTCCAGAGACCCAGCTTCAAGCTGTGGACTCTTCAGAGGTGAGACCAAGGATTCCAGACCTGACCAGGACAGACTGGGTTGGGATGGTGGTCACTTAGGCCTCAGTTTACCCTGCCTGCTGCCTCCACCCAGACCTTTCAGATCTCCCTTAAGAGCAAACAAGGCCCCATCGATGTTTTCCTGTGTCCTGAGGAGAGTTCAGGGGGGATCAGCCCTGGGAAGACCCCTTCCCAGGAAGCATCTTCTGGGGAGGAGAAGACAGCTGACCCTGTCACCACAGTGCCACCACCAACATCTCCCCCCTCATCCCCCACCATGGATCCCAACCAGTCCCCGCTTAGCCTGGAGCAAGGTAGGTGAAAGAAGAGTGGAGGTTGTCCTAAGTAGTCCAGCAGGATTGGCAGCCCCCTCTTTCCTCCCTGCTGGACCATTCCAGGCCTGAGGTGCTCTCCTGTCTCCCCAGAGCCCCTGCTGTCACGGATGGGTGGCCTCCGGGCCACTGTGGATGAGGACCGCCTGTCCCCCCTGGTGGCTGCTGACTCACTCCTGGAACACATGCGGGAAGACTTCTCCAGTGGGCTCCTTCCTGAGGAATTCATCAGCCTCTCCCCGCCACACGAGGCCCTTGATTACCACTTTGGCTTGGAGGAGGATGAGGGCATCAGAGACCTCTTTGATTGTGACTTTGGGGACCTGACCCCCTTGGATTTCTGATGGGGGCTTTGGGTCCAAGGGTCTCTTGAGACGCTCACCCTACATCTGCAGCCCTGGAGCCCTACCTCTAGGCCATCCTTCTGGCCCTATTAGAAAATTATAATTTATACCCTCTCTCCTTTCTCCAGCAGCTTCTAGCCCTGGGGTCTGGCTGCAGCTGATTGAGCAGGCCAGGAAAGGAAGGATTGTGTGTGTAGTGTGTGTATATATATGTACCTGACACCCTGCTTGTGTGTAATGTGGGGTGAGTAGTGTGTGAGCATGTGTGCGCGTGCTCCTGTACCCGGGAATGAAGGTGAACATACTTGAGCTTGTATTGAAGACATGCCCTGGTGTGTCCACGTGTGTCTGTGTGTGTGGTGTGTGTGTGTGAATGGATCCATGTGTGTGCATGAGGGGGCTCTAACTGCACTTTTGATCGCTGTGCTCCAGGGGCCCAGTGTAGCCCAGATGGCTCCCTGTTCCCAGAATCCTGTGCTTTGACCAGGCCAGGTAGGAGGCCTTGGCTTGCTAGGCTTGCAGGGCAGCCAGAGCACTTCTTGTCTTAAAGGTTTTCTGATCAAAGCTTTAATGGAGCATTATTTATTTATCGAGGTCTCTTTGGCAAGCCTGAGGAGTGAGCAAGGGTGGGATGGGTGTGGGGCTGATACCCCAACTCTCTATACCCCTGTGCAAGGGCAAGGATCTTCCAGCTGTTCTTTGCCCTACCCTGAGGGAGCTGAGGCCTGAGCGGTTTATTTATTGGGAAAGGGAGGGAGGGAGACAGACTGTGGGTGGGTGGATGGAGGGAGGGATGGTCCCTTTTCCAGGGAGGGGTCACTTCAGGTCCCTAACTGCATGCACCTCATGAGTATGAGAAGGGAGAGGTGAATGGGGACCTTCACTGACAGGGTGGGCTGGAGGGGTGTGTGAAGGGCTCACTACCCTAGACCCAGGGGTCCCTCCTGTGGTATTTGAAGCCCCCTCCCCCTATTGCTCTGACCCACCCTCCAATCTGCACTTTGATTTGTTTCCTAACAGCTCTGTTCCCTCCTGCTTTGGTTTTAATAAATATTTTGATGATGCGTGGGCCGGGTTCTAGGACTCTACTCCATATAACTCTGGGGGTGAGAGAAGCCAAGATTTCTGTTGAAAATCCGATTCTCCATGCCTGACTAAATAGCCTTTGGGTCTCATAACCCCCCAAAAGGAGAGTGTTGTCACTGTTTTCTCCTAACTTAAAAAAGTATTTTAGCTGGGCTCTGGTGGCTCATGTCTGTAATTCTAGCAACTCAGTAGGCTGAGTGATCTGAGGATCACAGTTTGAAGTCAGCCCAGACAGACTGATAGAACCAGCACAAAAGCCATAAGTGGAAGCGTGGCTCAAAGGGTAGAGAGCTAGCCGTAACTGAAAAGTTGAGCAAGAGCTTGGACACAAAAATACGTTTATTGTAGAATGAGTGCCGTACAGAGAAGTGCAAAGAGTAGGTAAGCACCATTCCTGTCACCAGAGGCCACTGCTGTCCAGGTTGCTGTGCTGCTTGCCAGGTATCTCCAGGCTTCAGTAAAATACAAGCATGTGTGTACCTTGATACTTTCCAGCCTTGGGATGCATGTCCCCTCCCCTAATGGGCCTGTCAATCTGACTGAAGAAATTTGTGCAAATGAGGCAATCAGCTTCCTGGAAGATCAGTGCTGGTCCCAGAACAGTACCGTAGGGTTAGCTGAAGTAGGGAAAGAATACCCGGTAGGAGGGCTGGGAATGCGGCTTAGTGGTAGAATGCTCACCTGGCATGTATGAAGCCCTGGGTTCAGTGCCTCAGTACCACATGAACAGAAAAAGCTGCAAGTGGCGCTGTAGCTCAAGTGGTAGAGTGCTAACCTAGAGCAAAAGCAGCTCAGGGACAGGCCCAGAGTTCAAGCCCTAGGATTGGCAAATGTATAACCTTAGGCAGGGTGGAACAAGAAATGAGTGTGGCTGGTAGACTGTCAGCGTTAGATGTTATTCTGAGACAAGGCGTCCTCAATTTCATTGATTCTGTATTTAAGCCTCTGGCTGCTGTGCTGAGTATGGGCTGCAGGGAGGGCCAGGATGGCAAGAGAAAGATGTGGGTTGAGCTTGCAAATGCCAAAGAGGGCGGTCCTGAGAACCGGGGCCATTCCCCTGTCAGCCGCTTCCGCTCTGAGTCTCCAGGCCTTTGGGGGTGTCCACTATTACCCCCATCTGATAGATGAGCATGCGGCAGCCGAGGTGCTGGAGCTTTGCTTTGTGGGTTTCGTCTGCTTTGGACCGCGGTTTGCTGTTGCAGTTGGCTTTGTTGGCGGGTCTGGGGCCCCACCTCCGGTGGGTGCTCGTCGCCCTGGGTTCTGCTCCTAGCTGGCTGGCTGTCATTTGCTCCACGAGATGCGGGCAGCTGGAAGGGGCGTGGCCAGCGGGCAGTCGGAGGGGGCGGGGCCAACGATCTGGCCAATGGACACGCGCCCCGCCCCCAGCCCGAGTCCCCCCGGGTCCGGCGGAGAGAGTCCAGCCGGGTGCAGCCGGCCAGCGGACCAGCCTCGCATCCCTCGGAGCGGGCAGCGGCGCCATGGCGTGCGCGGGACTGCTCGCCGTGTGCCTGCTCCGTCCGCCCGCGCCCGAGCCCCCACGGCCCCCCACCCTCCTACCCGCACCGGTCTCCGGGCCTGGCGGACACGCGCTCTTCCAGGACGTGAGTGGGGCAGGCGGGCGGGCGGGCGAGGGGCTCTCCAGGTGTCCATCTTGGGTCCCGCGGGGCTGTCTGTCTGTCCCCGCCCCTGTCTCCATATTTCCTGGCTCGATCTCTGTCTCTGTCTCTTGGCCCTGCCTCTGCCTCTGGGTCTCTGTCTCCCGCACATCTCTGTCTGCCTCCTCTGCTTCTGTGTTGCGTCCCCATCCTGTCTCTGCCTGTCCTGTGTCAGCTCCAGGTCTCTGCCCCCCTCTCCCCTCCAGCCCCCCCTCATCCATGAGTCCTGTGCTGGAGGGGGCTGTCAACACAACCACAGCAACAGTGGCCACCATGCTCTGTGGCCAGGCAGGGCTGGCGGTGATGCAGGGGGTAGGGGGGCGGCTGGACACCTCAGGTGCCCTCTCCTGGCCCCAGAGCTTCCCACGGTCACCCTCTGTGGTCTGGGGCACTCCATGGGCAGCAAGTGTCCCAGCAGCCCCCTCATGGGACTGTAGGAGAGGCTGGCTGGCCTCAGTCACTGCCCCCTCTGTCCTTTATCTCTGTGCTCAGCTGCCCTGGCTTCCTCCCGCCTGCGCCCCAGGTGCCCACCAAGCCTGCTCAGCCATCTGCCCCTCTCACTATCTCAGTGACTCAGCACCTTGACCACTGCTATCCAGGCCAGAAGGGACCTGACCCTCATGCCCCAATATGAGAAAACCAAGGCCTAAGGGGTTTGTCCCAGGACATACCTGGAGTCAGGGACACAGTAGGGTGTGGCCCTTAGTTGTCCCCATTCCCAGCCTGGTGTCCCGGTTCCTTCTCAGCCGGTATCTCCATCTACTCCACCTACGCTATACAGTGCTGCTGTGTGATTCCAAGCAATATCTGACCTTCTCTGAGTCAGGCTGGATGTTAGATCTGTTCTTTAGCCGCACTGATTCTGAGGGTGATAGCCCTCAAAGGAGCTTGGTACTCAGGAGTTGGAGCTATGAAGGCTCTCTATACAGGTTTGGCTTGGTCTATGCCTCCCTGTCACGCCTGCTGACTGCTCTTTGCTGGGCTGCTTTGGAGGACCTGGGGAGTCTCTGGTCTCTGGCAGAGGCAGAGATCTGTATGAAGAACAAGTTGCCTGTCTTCTCCACCTCTGTGAAAAACAAAACAAAACAAAAAACTGTTGCCCTTGCCTTATACCTCTCTCCCTCCCTCTTACACATATCTGCCCACCGCCCTCACACTGAATTGGCCTCATTAAAAATCCGTAGCTCTGAAAGGGTTAAACCCCAGGTGGCTCCTCTGTGGCTAGTGGGAACAGTGAGGCACCTGTGTCAGCATCTTCAACAGACACAGGGGATAATAAAAGTGGGAGGAGGCTGAGAGGGACTGGATGGCCACACAGCAGAGTTGGGGTTCATGTCTGGGACAGGTGCCCAAGATCTTTGAGCCGCATCTTGGCCTATCTCCCCAACTTTTCATAGGCTGAGATCGTGCCAAGGGCTGATGCATTAGATAGCTCAACACTTGGGCTCAACTCCAGCTGTGGGAGGCAGGGGTGTAGGAGCTGGCCTGGAGCACCCCTAGGAGGCCCAGCCCTGCAGGAGAGGAGAGCAAGCAGCAGGCTCCCCGGTGTGTGCTTCCTGTTCCCCCCCCCTCGCCCAGGAGCAGGAGAAGTTCCTGCGGGGCTGAGCTGGAGGCAGTGTGCAGCACAGGACAGGCAGGCCAGCTGGGGCTCTGTTGGTGGGTAGGGGGCCTGCTTCCTCCCAGCCCCCACTCTCCAGCTCCACTCATGCTCCTTTGTCCTCCAGGTTTTCCGCAGGGCAGACAAGAATGGTGAGTATGGTCTTCCTCAAGTCCCACAGTATGTGTGCTGGAGGGGAGGGGTAGGCTGATGAACATCAGAGAGGCCCTAGGGAATATTAAGGGTACACATAGTCTATTTATGGAGACAAATCTTGGGGCTGGAAACAGGAAATTAACAAAAGCATCCTTTCCCTAGAACGAGATCAAGGGAATATGGTTGGGCCAGAGGCTAGAGGTAGGGGCTTCACTTGCTGCACACAGTGTCCTGGCGCAGTAGTGGGAACATGACCTCATATGTGCCTTGCCACAGCCAACTGGAATAGAATTTCACTGCATTTCACAAAGGAGGAGAGGCACAGAGAAGGGAAGCAAGTTGCCTGAGCTCACATGGCCTTGAATCGGTGGTGTTAGGCTCCCTGGGGGAGGTACTCTTCCACTGGAAAGGATGGGATAGTGGAAGAAAAGCCTGATTTTTACAGGACTTCTCACTTTCTAAAGCTGGAAGGGCTTGGAGGGCACAGTTAACTCTAGCCCTTGAGCAAGGCTAAAGCTGGACCCTGTGTACCAGGAGTCTGAGATCCTGCTCCAGGAAGAGCCCAAGGAGACCCAGCATGCAACAGGTTGCTGTTTCTAGAGGACTCAGCAGCTTGCTGTGCCCATTGGCCCGTGGAGCATCTGAGCTGAAGCAGCCACTCAACCTTGAGCTCACCTTTCTCTGGGTCTGCACGCCCTCTTGTGTTTTTGTCTTTTTTTTTTGCCAGTTGTGGGGCTTGAACTCATGGCCTGGGCTCTGTCCCCAATTTATTTGCTCAAAGCTAGCAGTCTACCACTTTCAGCCACAGCCTCACTGTTGGCTGTTTTGTTTTGTTTTTGGTTGGTTATGGTTATGAACTCTGGACCAGGGCACTGTCCCTCAGCTCTTCAGCTCAAGGCTAGTGCTCTACCACTTTGAGCCACAGCACCACTTCCGGTTTTCTCATGATTAATTGGAAATGAGAGTCTCACATACTTTCCTTCCCAGGCCGGCTTTGAGCCGTGATTCTCAGATCTCAGCCTCCTGAGTAGCTAGGATTGGCATGAGCCAATGGTGTCTGGTTTGTTTTTGCCTTCTTGAGACAGGGTTATGTCCTTACTCCTTGCCACTTCCCTTTAGGCCTCTTCAAATTGGTAGGGACCATTGATCATGACTAATGCCCTCAGACTAGGAAAGTGGCTTAGTGGTAGAGTGCTTGCCTAGCATGCATGAGGCCCTGGGTTCCATTCCTCAGTACCACATAAGCAGAAAAAGCAGGAAGTAGCACTGTGGCTCAACTGGTAGAGGGGTAGCCTTGAACAAAAAAAGCTCAGGGATAGCACCCAGGCCTTGGGTTCAAGCCCCAGGACTGGCCAAAAAAAAAAAAAGACCTGATACTCTGGGCTGGTACATAACACAATTTATGCACAAGTTCCCTGGGTTCTTTTTTTTTTTTTTTGTCGGTCATGGGTCTTGAACTCTGGGCTTGGGTGCTGTCCCTCAGCTCTTCAGCTCAAGGTAGCACTCTACTGCTTGAGCCACAGCGCCACTTCCTGTTTTCTAGTTTATTGGAGATAAGAGTCTCATGGACTTTTTTGCCCAGGCTGGCTTTGAACTGTGATCCTCAGAGCTCAGCCTCCTGAGTAGCTAGGATTACAGGCATGAGCCACCAACATCCAGATTTCCTTGGGTTCAATCCTCAGAACCCCACCCCACCAATAAAAGACACACGTGCTAAAAGAGGCTGTAATCCCAGCCCTTGGGAGGTAGAGGCAGGACTGAGTTCAAGGCCAGCCTAGTGTTTATATCAAACACCTGCCCCTCCAAAGATACATACATGCTCTCACTTGGGCCAGGCATTTGCTTGGAGACCTTGCACACATTCAGGCTGACTCCTGTGTGCCGCATCCCACTTCTGCTCTTGGCCTCTGCTCCCTCACACCCTTGATGGGGGAGCTCAGGCCTCTGCAGCTAGCCTGCTGCTCTGGCGATTGAGAGGACTTCCTCTGCTTCCCTGAGCCTTCTCTGTGAAAATTGTGGGTCCAGTGCATGGAGGGTCCCTCCATCCTGGGGCCAGGCTGGCTTGCATGTGGGGCAGACTCGGCCCCCACGTCCTCCCAAACCATGTTCTGACGTGTCCCATGTCCCAGGCTGTTATCCTTTTGTTTCCATTGGCGAACATTGAGTCTCTTATTCAATTCCATGCACCGAGTGGCTCTGTTCCCTTCAGCAGGGATCTTTGGGACTTCAGTCTTTTTGTCCCCCAACAGTCAGGGCCCCCACCGAGGTTGGAATTCCATGCTGGGTGGCTGTGAATGTTGTGTGGCTTTTTGGGGGTGGGGGAGTGGCCTAGGCAGGGAGGGGGAGGGGGCAATAGTGATGGCTGGAGGACAGCCACTGTCTTCCTATCCTCGTAGATGATGGTAAGCTGTCATTTGAGGAGTTCCAGAATTACTTTGCTGACGGGGTTCTGAGCCCTGGGGAGCTGCGGGAGCTGTTCAGCGGCATTGATGGGCATCCCGCCGAGTGAGTGTGAGAGGGGTGAGCTGAGCTGTGGGCAGGTGCCTGGCCAGGTTGTCCCAACCCCACTGGGTCCCTGCTGCCTTGATTCTTTTTAGAGGACAGAGAGTGGGGAGCAGGGAGAAAGTGCCAGGGCCCAGTGCCAGCTTTACCCACCCACCCACCCCAGCTCCAGACTTGCTGCTACACTGCTTCCAGCTGGGGCCCCAAAATAGCCAGGCCTGAGTCACCACCTCTACTCAGCCATACTCCATTGCTGCTTCCTGCAGAAATCAGAGCAGAGGGTGCCTGGGGATCACTGAGCCCCGCTTGCCCCTACCTGGGGATACAGGGGCCCAAACTCATACCCTCCCATGCATGCTTCTTCCCCAGGCTTCCTCACTCAGCGCACACGCGTATTTCACACATGCACACAGCTATCCTTCCCCTCACCTCCCCTGTCTCTTCAGGCTAAATCCCAGACCAGCTCGGCATTCAGGGCTCCCAAGACTTAGATGTTTATGTACAATGTCCTCTCTTCCGCTGACCAGACACCCCATCCAAATTTGGTGCTAGGCTGAGTTGGGAGCGAGTGTGGGGGAGATGTGGGCTTGAGTCAAGGTCTGAAAAGTTTCTTCTCTTTCCTGCAGCAACTTAGAAACAGAGAAGCTATGTGGTGAGTCAGCCCACGGTGCCCTGTTGCTGGTCTGGGGTTGGGGCAGGATGGACTGGGCTGCTTGGTATCTGAGGAATTCCAGGGTTGGGCAGCTGGTCCAGGTCAGGGGCCTGGGTACCCTTGAATACCTCCTCTGTCCACAGAGTACTTCTCCAAGCACCTGGGTGTCTACCGACCTGTGCTGGCTGCATTAGAGTCTCTGAACCGTGCAGTGCTCACTGCCATGGATACCACCAAGCTGGTGAGTGGAGGGGCAGATGATAGGGGGTCCAAAATGATCCATGGGGTGGGGGGGAATGCATGGTGCTGTGAGACCCTTTTCTGTTGCAGAGCTAGAGGCCTGAGTTGAAATTTTGCAAAACAAAATCCTACTTAGTGGCTTATGCCCCTTTAGCCCTTCTGGGCCTGTTTCCTCATCTGCACTTTGCTGTGAAAATTAAATGAGAGTAGAGGTTGGGGTTTTTGTGTACTTTGTTTTCTTTATGGTTCCCAGCACCCAAAGCAATGCCTGGCACACAGTGGGTTTCTGCTAGGGGCCAGACATTACTGTTGAGGGCTGTGAAGCCAGGACCAGCAGCTGTGGGCTAGCGTGGGGGATGGGGAATGTGCTCATATATGTCCACAGGCTATGTTGGTACACAGCCTGTGAGGGCTGGGCCTGAGGGCATATTCTAGTCCTCAGGTATATGTGTGCCCACCTGTGTGGGCACCTGTGAGCCGAAGTGTTGACAGCTTGGGTCCCAGGCCTTTAATGTTGACTTAAAAAATATAGGCCTCCCCTCCTTTTGTGTGAAAGGAGCCAGGCACCCCGTGGCTCTCACGCCTGTAATCCTCAGGAGGCTGAGATCTGAGGATCATTGTTCAAAGCCAGTCTTGGCAGCAAAGTCCCCATGAGACACTTAATTAACTACTCAAGATCTGGAAGTGGTGCTGTGGCTTAAGTGGTAGAGCATTAATTTTGAGCACAAAGAGGCTCAGGAACAGGCCCTGAGTTCAAGCCCCATGACCAACAATAATAACAAAAAAGGAACCTCAGTTGGGTGTGTGGCAGCTCACACTTGTAATCTTAGCGACTGTGGAGGCTGGGATCTAGAGAATCATGATTTGAAGCTGGCCTGGGCAAAAAGTTCATGCGACCCCTTTACAGCCCATACCTGGGTTCAGTACATGTATCTATCATCCCAGCTACAAGGGGAAGTGTAAGATAGGATTATGGCCTAAGTGAAGGCTCAGGAAAAAAGACAGACCCTATCTCTAAATAACCAGTGCAAAAGAGGGCTGGAGTGGTTGATGGTAGAGTACCTGCTTAGAAAGCACAAAGCCACCGGGCACTGGTGGCTCATGTCTGTAATCCTAGCTACTCAGGAGGCTGAGATCTGAGGATCCCTGTTCAAAGCCACCCCGGGCAGGAAAGTCTGTGAGACTCATCTCCAATTAACCACCAGAAAACCGGAAGGGGCACTGTGGCTCAAGTGGTAGAGTGCTCACCTTGAGCTGAAGAGCTGAGGGACAGCGCCCAGGCCCAGAGTTCAAGCCCCACGACCACCACCACCACCACCAACAACAACAAAGGCACAAAGCCCTGACTTCAACACCAGTATCATCAAAACAACAACAAAAAGGCACTTTCATCTCCCTTTGTCCCCGAGCTCTTAAAAGCAGGAGTGTGGTGGAGAGGGAGGGATGAGCCTGGGATTGTGCTTCAATCAACTGTGCTAGGCTAGAGATCCAGCCCAGGGCCTTGCATATATTACCCAAGAAAAGAACTCTACCCCTGGAGCGGAACCCATCCCGACCCCACTTCTTTTGGAAAGAGAACCTGAGACCCTCAGTGAAAGATCACTTGAGCACATAACCAGAAACCCAGCTTCCTCTGGTTGCTTTCACGTAGATTTAGTAGTTTTTCAAAGCATTGTCCCTTGGGCCTGATGAGCAGCTGGATTACTGGTCTTTGAACTGGCACTGGTTTGAAGGATTCAAATGCAGGTCAAAACGAGGGCCCATCTTCCTGGCCCAGAAAGGGATGGGTACGGCCCACCCCCACTGCATGAGCCTGCTAGCTGCCAACCCTTGAGACTTTATCTGGTACAGGATGTCTGGATGGCCTGCAGCCTCTGTTCCTGCAGGTCCCTGGCGCCACCATCGCCTTAGTCCAACACGATTCAATCGAATACTTCGTGCACCAGCCTGGAGCCGCACTCCTGGTACATGGCCCGGGTCATCCAGCCTTGTTGGAAGGAGTGCAAGGAGGCCACCATGGAGCCTCCAGTCCACACGGCTGTGCCACGCCCAGGCTTGGCCACCAGTTGGGGCTGCAGAGTCGGGTAACCATGCCGCCGGCACTGGGCCTCCAACTCTTGATGCAGGCGTTCAGGGAAGCCAGGAAAAAGCGTGGAACCACCAGCCAGCACCACGGTGTTGGCCAACCGTTTCCGCATGGTTGATGGCATCTTCTGGAGGGCCTGGAAGGCCAGGGTGTCCAGCCCCGGCTCGGCTTGGCCTAGCAGAGCGGGCTGGAAGATGGGTTCGGGGCAGCGGAAGCGCTCGTGGCTGAGGTGCACGGAGCACCCACTGCCCACGGAGAAACAGACGGGGTGGTGGCGCTCCGGGTGCTGCAGGTCGCCCTCGAAGTCCTGCGACACGTAGCAGCAGCGCTTCTTGAGCTGGGTAATGACCTTGCGGGACAGCGCCTGCAGCTGGAGGTCCGGGCACGCCGCCACCAGCAGTTCCCGCAAATAGCGCGACAGGGTGCTGCCACCCACGTCCAGCCGGAAGGTGGCCTTGTGCCACGAGTGGCCCGAGTAGATGGGCGTGGCGTGGCACACGCCCGCGCCCGCCTCCACCGCCAGCCCGCTGAGCGCGCCCGTGGAGCAGAGCGCCAGCAGCGAGGTGTTGGCCATGAGGCACGCGGGCACCGCCAGGGCCTCGAACAGCAGCTCGGCCGTCTTCTCCCGGCCTTTGGGCGGCGCCGTCGGGGAGTCGCTCACCAGCACGGGCCACTGCTCCGGGGAGAGGCGCAGGCCGCCCACCAGCAGGCGCTCCCACAGCCCCTCCAGCGCCTCCCAGTCCGTCACCACGCCGTGCTTGATGGGGTGCGCCCGCGCCACCCCGCTCGCCAGCTCGCAGCCCGGCTCGCCCCGCACGCCCGGCTGCGCCGCCGTGCGGTCCCAGATGGACACCAGGCTCGAGCTCTTCAGCACTACGCGTGGCAGGTGCTCGCCCGCGAAGCCCGCCTTGGTGAAGCCCGAGCCCTGGTCCACGACCACCGCCACGTGGCCCACGGAGAGCGGACCGCGGACCTGGCAGCCGCGGCTGTGTTTCCGGTGCCTAGGCTTGGGCGCCCCAGAGCCTCGGTCTCGCCTGTGGGTTTTGTAACCGACCAGGCTGAGTCTAGGCTCCGCCTCCTGGCGCTGAGGCTCCGCCTCTTGGGACCAAAGTGGCTCCATGTGTGCCCGCGACTCCGCCCCGGGCCTGCGGCCCCGCCCCCGGGCCCGCGCCTGACTTCGTTCTCCCCAGCTCTGGTTCCAGGCCCCGCCCTCTCAGGGCTCACCGCTGCCGTGTGGCTCCGCCCCCGTCCCCCTACAGCAAGAAGTGGGTGCCAAATCCCAGATCCTGCGAAGCCGTCCGGAGGAGCGGAGCTGTGGGAGTGAAGGGGCCTTTGGGTAAGGCCATCTGGACCTATATCCGTCTTTGGGGGACCCAAGAGTCTGGCCCTGTCTACAGGCAGTCTCCTGGGCTGGGCAGAAGAGGTTCCTGGATGTGGATGGAGCAGAGAGGATGGTCAGAGAAGGGACAGAAGAACGTGGATTGAACGCATTGTGACCTCAGCACTGGCTGAGCTGCCGCAGCCCTTCCCCCTCCCCAAGCTTCCTGGACCTTCATCCTCCTTCTTTGCACAGTGCTGATGGCAGCGACTTCGGCACCCATACTTTGGCCTTAGCCGTCTAGCACAACCAGTTCTTGCCCCAAACACAGGGAGAAACTGATGGATAGACTCTGGCCAAGTGTGTGACATTTCCGATTTAAAAACCGAGAAGCTCTTTAGACCCAGGGGGCCCAATGTGTGCTTCCGTTCTGAAGCCCGCTGTGAAACCCTGAGCAAGGCTGCACCCTAAGGCCCTGCACTGTTTCTTCTCCTAAAAGGTAGTAAGAATTCTCACACATAAAAAGGCCACTTCCGGTCCCTGTGGATATTCTAGAACCATTTAGGTTTCAAGTAGAAGGCATGCTTCAATGATCTTAAGCCACAACAAGGACCTACTTACAAGGATCTTGTCTTATGGATCACAAGGGCAAGTGTGAAATCAGGTTTCAGGAACAGGGTCTGACTGTAGGGTTTAGGACACTGGGCTGTGCACAGTTCTTGTATCATGGTTTTATTCTGAAGACTGGTGTTAGCTAGGATGTGTTCATGTAGAAAACATGGTCTCTGAAGTTAAGTTCTACAGAAGAAACTGATAGGGACAGCTCCTGCCAGGGAGCATGGTTCCCCATCTGTATGTGGGTGGTGGAGCTGTCAGCTTTCACAAGAGGCAGGTATGGTGCTGTGGGTCATGTTCACCAGCAGGAAGCAGGCTGGCACACCTTCAGCAGAAGCTGGACTATGATTTTAGGCAGAAGACCTTCATCCTTCTACATCTGCAGTGTTCTGAGGTTGGTCACCAGTGTGTGGCTAGAAAGCAGACTGCATTTTTTTTTTTTGGTGTTGTTTTTTGTTTTGGATATTTCCTTTCTCCATATATTTCTTCTCTCTCTCTCTCTCTCTCTAATCAGTCATGGGACTTGAACTCAGAGTCTGGGCTCTGTGCCTGAACTTTTTCACTCAAGGCTAGCATTCTAGCACCTGGAGCCACACTACCACGTAAGGTTTTGTAGTGGTTAATTGGAGATGAGTCTGACACTTTCCTGCCCTGGCTGGCTTTGAACCATGATCTTCAGATCTCAACCTCCTAGGTAGATAGCATTACAGACATGAGTCACTGGCACCTGGCTCTCTTATATTTTTCTTTTTTTTTCTTTTCTTTTTTTTGTCGTTGGTCATGGGGCTTGAGCTCTGGGCCTGGGCACTGTCCCTCAGCTCTTCAGCTCAAGGTGAACACCCTACCACTTGAGCCATAGCTCCACTTCTGGTTTTCTAGTGTTTATTGGAGATTAGAGTCTCACAGTTTTGAACCGAGATCCTCAGATCTCAGCCTCATGAGTAGGTAGGATTATAGGCGTGAGCCACTGGCACCTGGCTATTTATTTATTTATTTTTGCCAGCCATGTGGCCTGAACTCTGGGCCTGGGTGCTGTCCCTCAGCTCTTCAGCTCAAGGCTAGCGCTCTACTACTGGAACCACAGCACCACTTCCAGCTTTTTCTGCTTATGTGGTGCTGAGGAATTGAACTCAGGGCCTCATGCATATGAGGCAAGCACTCTACCATTGAGCCACCTTCCCAGCCCCTCTTTGTATTTTTCTACACTTTTTCTCCCCTTCCTTTCAGCACACAGGGCCCTGTACGTGCAAGCTAGGCAAGCATGCTACTACTGACCTACATCCTCAACCCATTGATTTGGGCATTATCTGGTTCTTCCAGACTCTTGGTGTCTTGAACAAAGATCTGGGTGAAACACAGGAGTTATTTGAAGCCAATAGATTCCGTAAAGCAAGAGTAAGGTGAAAGTACTCTTGGAATTTGGGAGAGGGCCTGCACTTGAGCAGAAAGTGCCAAGGAATGGGGTGGTGTGTCTGGGATGATTTGGGGCTGGTTTGGGTTGAGGGTTGGATAGCACCTCCTACAGGAGGAGCCCTCCCCTGATGGACAGTTTTCAATGGTGGATTGTGATTACATAACAATTTTTCTACTGTACATGCCTACATGTTGTTATATTAGTATGCAAAGCATAACAATGAAGCCTTAATTAGGGATTTTCCCCTCCAAAAGATTACTTAAGGTTCACCAAGCACAGTGCTGTGCATGTACCTTTTAAGGGGGCTTTCCATTCTGGGCAGATGATCATCAGGATGTTTAGACAGCACAATCACCCTCCTAGGAAGAGGGTCAGTTGGATCTATGGTTGGACCTTCAGTAATAGGGGTGTTCCTGGTTTGGCTTTAGGAAATAAGTCTTTGCCTCCATCATTCTGACCATACTTTCCTGTATCAGCTCTATATGTTGTGCAGGCTGGCCGGCGATCCTCCTCCTGCCCCAACCTCTTTTTTTTAATTTAATTTGAATTTTTTGTCGGTCATGGGCTTGAACTCTGGGCCTGGGCGCTGTCCCTCAGCTCTTCAGCTCAAGGCTAGCGCTCTACCACTCGAGCCACAGCACCACTTCCAGCTTTTTGCTTATGTGGTGCTGAGGAATCGAACCCAGGGCCTCATGCATGCAAGGCAAGCACTCTACCACTGAGCTACCTTCCCAGCCCCTGTCCCTCAGCTCTTTAGCTCAAGGCAAGCACTCTACCCCTTGAGCCACAGCACCATTTCCAGTTTTCTGGTGGTTAATTGGAGATAAGAGTCTCATGGACTTTCCTGCTCCGGCTGGCTTTGAACCCAGATCCTCAGATCTCAGCCTCCTGAGTAGCTAGGATTACAGGCATGAGCAACCGGCACCTGGCTGCCCTGACCTCTTAAGTGCTGGGATTATAGAGATGTGCCACAGTGCCCAGCTAAGGCAACATGTTGGGTAAGGCTTGAGTCAAGGTGGCTCTAGGGTTTTTGGAACTTGGTCTCGGACTCGGCGAGTGAGTAGCAGCAGCTGGCTCCTACCAGAGCATGCTGGGCCTCCCTGAGCAATGTCTGGAGTGAGCCTCATACTGGGGGCCACAAGTGCCAATGTAGTGGGAGCAGGGGTGAGAGAGAGGAGCTGGGCCTGCACCCCTAATTACAGGTTTGGGCTTTTCCCAGAGGGCGATGGAGAATGGTGAGAGCCATGAGCAGGAGACACATCTGCCCTAGACAGGATTAGTTGGGAAGAAGCCTTTGGCTAAATGGAGAAAGGGAATGGGTAGATTGGGATACCCCATCAAGTGCTTACCCTGAGAGGCTCCCACATCCTTGGGAGTTAACAAGCACAGTAGGGTAGGAGTGAGGGCCCAGAGGCCAGGGCCCCCAGCTCCATTTCTTCGGTGGTCCCACAGGCTGAATTTGAGGCTCAGACTCACCCCAGCCCACAGTGGGGCCCTCCATCTAAGGGATTTCTCCTTTCACCCTAGTTGTTTTGGTGCTGAACTAGGGCTTGAACTCTGGATCTGGGTGCTGTCCCTCAGCTCTTCAGCTCAAGGCCTGCACTCTACCACTTGAGCCACAGCATCATTTCCAGTTTTCTGGTGGTTTATTGGAGATAAGAGTCTCATGGACTTTCCTGCCCAGGCTGGCTTTGAACCTCGATCCTCAGATCTCAGCCTCCTGAGTAGCTAGGATTACAGGCGTGAGCCACAGGTGCCTGGCCTTTAACTTGCTTTGCTCAAGGCTTGGCACACTACCACTGGAGCCATGCCATGGCTCCACTTCTGACTTTTTGTTGGTTAATTGGAGAGAAGCATCTCACTGACTTTCCTGCCTGGGCTGGCTTTGAAACCTCCACTTTCCTAGCTCAGCCTCCTATGAGTAGCTAGGGTGACAGTGCCCAGCTTGCCAAAGGGAGTTCTGAATGTTGGTCACTCTTGAGGATGGCAGCCCTCTACTGGAAACAAGTTTTTCCTCCTAGCATGGCCCAGCCCGTGTGGGTCCTAGTCCATCTCCTTTGTGCCTACAGATCTGACAGAATCTGAACTGGGTCTGGGGTGCTGTGGGATGGGGGAAGACTGAACCGGGCCTGGGGTGTTGGGGGGGGACGGGGTAGATGTGAGCCGGTCCTGGGGTGTTCGGGGGGAGGACTGGGTAGATGTGAGCCGGGCCTGGGTGCTGCAGGACCGGTCCTGGGGTGTTCGGGGGGACTGGGTAGATGTGGACCGGGCCTGGGTAGATGTGGACCGGGCCTGGGGTGTTCGGGGGGACTGGGTAGATGTGAGCCGGGCTGGGTGCTGGAGGACCGGATCTGGGGTGCGGGGGGGAGGTACCGTCCGCAGGCCGCGGCGGTGGCTCTGCTGGTGATATACTGCACCTCCCCGCCCGCGACCCCCGACCTTCGGCCGCGCCTGCCGGGCGCCCGCGACGCCCCGCGGGGAACTGGGGAGGCCGGCGGGCTTGCTATGCACTCTTTATTGGGCCGAGTCCTGGGACTGGGGGCCGCGCCGGGCCTTCAGAGCCGAGGGCGAGGGCAGCGGCGCCGCTTGCGGGGCTGCTCTTCGCCGGGGTCGCCCTCGCGGTCCGCCTCGCTC